CCACTAGGGCAAGCCTGCAAGACACTGGGGCGCCTCCTGCCTGTCAGCTTCCCGAATTCACTGGCATTGCTGTCCCCAGCGTGCCCTCACCACATCCCTATGTGGGGCCTCATCCAGGGGAGACCCTGCCCCTTTGCCTGCACAGCCTCTTCACCAAGCAGGGCACACCCAGGCAGTCTCCAAGGACCAAAGGAAGCTGTCCCAGCCCCAGCTATCCTCATCAACACAGGTGACTTTCCCACACAGGAAGTGGTGGAGTCGGAGTTGTGGTTCACCTTGAACAAGCCTCATCTGATGCCAGCCCTAAAGTGTTGGAAGGCCAGCAACAGTGGCTCTCCCACACTGTCTTCCCCACACGTGGAGCTGCTCCCGGCTCTGGGCTGGCCCTCACTGACCTGGCCGCACCCCCAGCCCCGTTCCTGGAGAGCTTCTACTCCAGCAGGCCTCTGGTGGAGCAGCTCCCCACCCTCAGCCCTGTCCCCGGACACGACAGCACACAGCTGGGTTCTGGGGAACGCTGGGCTCAGACACAGGCCCTCCAGGTGGCCAGGCAAGCCGCAGCTGAGGGCCTACTTGGTTCTTTTGCAGGATTTGAGAGAGGGATTTCTCAATCTTCCCAAGAAGATATCTGGCTTGGGAGAAGATGAAACAGGGCACTCTCCCCTTCCCCAGGGCCCCCAGAAGAGGGAGGGCTCCATGGCGCCCGGCTCTCTTGCAGGTGAGAGAGCAGAGAGCAGAGGATGGAGGGGGGCACAGGGAGGGCTGAAACCACTCAGCTGGTTTAAGGCGCACGAAGGGGTGCTGCCCTGCACTCACCGCCCCCAGAGCTCCCGCCGCCTCCCATGCTGCGCAGCAGCCACAGAGCCCTGCGCGGAAGGAGAGGTCGCCAACACGGAAGCTGGGAGAATTGTCGGTTCTAGCCCGGGAAGAAGAGAGGCATGGCCGGGCCCCCGAGCCAGCCACTGCATGCGAGGCATCACAGCTGTGGGTGTCGCCCGCCGAAGCGCCTGCCCGAGCATCCCGCCGCGTCTTGCAGGAGCGGCATGGTGCTGCAAACGTCTGCAAGTGGGCGTGTTCTGAATTGGCTGGGGTGTGGGTTTCCTGGGTTTTGCACCGGTGCGCCCTTTCCAAAGCTCACTGACCATGTGTGCATGCCCCTGCATGTGAATTACGCCTCAGTGTGAAAAAGGAAAACCCAAAGAGGCCAGGACCCAGCAGCCCACTCACCACAGCCAGCCCAGATGCCCCACTGGACACCAGGGCAGCCTGTCCTGTCCTTGGGCCTCGATTTCCTCTTCCACGGGAGGTGGAGAGGTTGAATCCTAAGACTCTACGACAGGCCTTCTGTCCCTAATAAAACAGGATCAAGGACTGGTCTCTCCTGCGAGCTGGGCTTGTAGAGAAAGTAGGACTCGGGGGTCTGGGCCACAGCGATGGGCGCCCAGAGGCCTGGGAAGGAGGGAGTTACAAGGCCGCAGAACATGGCCTCTCTCCACAATGCAGTGCACCCTCCATCCCAGGGCTGGGTGTGACTGCCAGGCTTAGGTGTGAAAAGGGGTAGGGGCGCTCAGGGGCAACTCCCAGAGCCCCCCTGCCCTCCCCAAGTGCAGGCTCCTCAAACGCGCCAGTGACTGCATCCCAATCCACAAAGACGCCACATGCATGGGCAGCCGCTCGGCCCCAGAGCCCCCCAGTCCTTGGGCCTCGGGGCCAGAAGAGGCCAGCTCTCTATGCATCCCCACCCCATGTCACCAAGGCCCCCTGGGCCAGCAGCATCCGAATCAATGGGACCAGCTACAGACGCAGATTCACAGGCCTCACCTGGCACTGCTGACGTGGTTAGCTTACGTGTCACTGTGGCCGGGCTGAGGGGGGCCGGGTGTGGAAAGCATCCTTTCCAGAGCTCTGTGAGGGTGCCCCAGACGAGATTAACTTTTGACTAGGTGGCCTGAAGGAAGAAGATGGCTTTCACCAAAGCAGGTGGGCCTCATCCCACCAGTTGAGGGCCCACACAACAAAATGGCAGGGACAGGCGTGTTCACGCTCTGGACGTTCACCCGAGGGACGCCCATCTTGCCTTTCCTTGGACTTCGGAGCCCCTGGTTCTCCCGTCTTTGGACTGGGACTGCCTCGCCCATCCCCTCTCCTGTGTCTCCAGCCTGCAAATGTCTGGTCATGGGACTTCTTGGTCCCGTACCCACAAGCCAATCCCCATGATCAACCTTGTCTCATGTCTCCACACACCCTATTGGTCTGTTTTTCTGGAGAACCCTAATATGAAGGGGGACCCAAAAAACTCAGAATTTGTTAAAAATTGTGTATTTATTCTTACATGTTTAAGCCTCTGTCACCTTCAAAGTACTCTCCATATGATGCAATACACCTATCGAGACATTTTTTCCACCACACTTTTTGAACTAATCAATTTTGATGCCTTTTAGTGCTTCTGTCGTTTTTTGTTTCAACTCTTCCACATCAGCAAAACGTTTCCTTCTGAGGACTTCTTTCAACTCAGGAAACCAAAAAAAAAGTCACTCGGGGTGAGATCCAGTGAACAGGGAGGGTGGGCACAGGGTTTGTGCCGTTTTTGGTCAAAAACTGCTGAATGCTCAGCATGGGGTGGGCAGGTGCGCCCCTAAATCACCCATCATGAAATGGGCAAACACGTTGAAAAAGCCTTCAAAAAAATTCACTGAAGCCGAATGCAGCCTCGTACAACACCAGCTGGTGCACTGATCCAGATGGGTTCCTAGAACACTCACCTAGCGGGGGGAGCCTGTACTACTACAAGGGGACCACCTTCCAAAAGATAATTCTGGTTTTTGGGGTCCCCCCTCATAAATCCATGGACTGGGAAACAGGCAAAGGGGCCAAAGGCTCAGTGACCCTCCACGTAGCTGAGATGAGCTAAAGGTTAGGACCCATATAGCCTGAATGACAAAACCAGCTCCCCCTTTCCCATTGCTATTTTTCTCCCCAGACACCCAACCCTAACCGTCGTGAAGTGGCGCCAGCAGCAGGGGCTGCCCCGGGCGCAGGCAGACTACATGCCAGGGCCCCAGAGCAGGGAGGGGGCATCTGAATCCCACCTGCGCGCCTGCCCCTTTGCTCCAGCTGTCCTTCCGTCCTCGCAGCCATCTTCCTTTGAGGCCTACTATTCGGCATCCCTATGTATGCCTTTGTCCTTGGCCTAGGGGCCCCCAGAGTGGAGGAGCTCAAACCCAGCCCTGCCTCCCCTACATGGTCAGGCTGGGTGAGGATCTGGGCCCTGGGGTCTTCATCCTGACCATGGATGAAACCACGCTGGCGGCCCTTTAGCCAGCTTACCTTGCCCATTCCTGGCCAAAGCTGGGCAGGTACCCCACTGAGTCCCCAGGGTGTCTACCCGCAGGACCCCAGGGAAGAGGGGCTGGGAGGTCCTGGCTCCAAGGAAAACTCAGGAAAGCCCCGTGGCCTCAGTTTCCCCAGGGAACTGCTTAACACTTCTTGGCCCCCTGACAGATCTCCTGCTACGGTCACAGCTGTGATCCCCATACCTGTATGGCCTGAAGGAAGAAAGTAAATTCCTCAACCTGCCAGAAGGTACACAGGAAGCCATCTTGTTCTTTTGTAAACTGTGTATCCTTCACATGCTCATTCCTGTCTATATTCTTCACAATTAAAAAAAAATTAAAGGTCACTCCTGAGGACACATGAGCCCCTGCGGATTGGCCATCGGTCAGTTCTCCGGGGCTGGGAGTCAGCACCACCTGAAGGTCCTTTGCCCCTCCCTGGAGGGACAGACCCCTGAGGAACTCTGAATGAACAATCTTGGGAGTGTTTTCAGCGTTGGTATTGGGGGTCAGAGCCGAGGTCCAGACCACTTAGGTGGCTAGGTCTGGAGGAGGCTGGGTCTGGCTTCCAGGGCGGAGGGTCCTCAGCCTCCGAGAGGAGGTCAGTGTTTGCCGCAGGAGGGCTGCCTGGGAGGATGGGCAGCCCCTAGAAGCTGGTGAGGTTCTGGCGCTCCAGCTCAGTGAAAGGGCCCTGCCCAAGGGGAGCAGATGAGCAAGGGGGTAAGAGAGGGGGCAGGAAAGGCACCTCCACCGCCCCCGTCCCCCCCCCCCCCCCCCCCCCACCCCGGGCCAGGAACACACCTCAGGCCTTCCTCTGCCAGGCATGCCACTGGGCCAGGGTCCAGGTGATGGCTCTGCTTTGCACCCTCCACAACATGCAGGGTACGGAGGATGAAGAGCTCCCCAGCAATCTCCTTAACGACTCTTGTTTGGGGGACCCCTCGCAGCAGCACGAGTGTGGGGAGAAGGGGTCCCAGGTAGCAGAAGTGGGGTACTAAGGTGGGCAGGATGCCATAGTAAAGTCCCAAGTGGGGACCCACAGCCGGGCCCCGAACCCGGAGTACGCAGAGAAGACCGCGATTGTCCTCGCCTCCCTTCCGAAAAGCTCAAAGAGGCTTCCCGGAGGAGGGGGGCTCCCTCTTCTTGTCACCTGGGCTCAGCAGGTTCCTTGGGGGGAGAGCTGTCCCCCGCTAGGCCCCTACCATTGACAGTATTTTATTTGATCTGTGGCCAGCTCCCCCGCAGCAGCTCTTCCAGCGCGCACGGGTCTCTGTGGGTCGCAGCGGGTGTCTCCCGGGAACGAGCGCCCCGGAAACTCCCTTCCCTCGGTGACCGCCTGCTAGTGGCAACGGCTCCCACAACACCGGAAAGCGAGCCAGTCCGCGGGGATCCCCTGGCCGGGGAGGGGGTCTGGCACCCTGGCGCTGCTGCTCCGGAACCCCAAGATCTGCTTGAGCCTCAGTCCCCGTATCCGCTGGTTTATTTGTAGTTTCCACAAGCCGCATTCCTGCGAGGCTCGTAGCGCAGGCGCAGACGGACTTCACCCCAGGGTGGTGCGCGTGCGCGGCGGTGGGCAGGGCATTGCCCACACACTGCGCTCTCTCTCTCCGAATCTGCGCATGCGTGCCGCGGCGCGGCCCGGGTGACCCGCCCCATTACCCAGTGTTCCCCGCGGCCGCAGGCACTGACGTGGCTGCCGTCAGAGCCGCCATCTTGTGGGAGCGAAACCAACGCCTGGCTCGGAGCAGGAGCATCGCGGCGGACGCCGAGGGTGAGGCGGAGGTTGGGGGCACTGGGGCCGGGGGCCGGCCTGGGTCGCGCGGGACCCTACCTACCGCGGCTGGACCGGCGGGACGGGGAGGATCGATGCCGGGCCTGGGGCCGCTGTGAGGGCCGGAGCGAGGCGAGGCGAGGCTGGGCCGGGAGCCGTGGTCAGGGCCCGCGGCTGAAGCGAGGCGAGGTCGGGCCTGGGGCGAGTGTAAGGGCTAAGTCTAAAACGAGGCAAGGCCGGTATGGAGACGGAGGTGAAGCCGGGCTGGTGAGGGTCGAGGCCGGGCTGAGGCGGGGGTCGAGGCCAGGTCTGGGACCCAGGAGCGACGGGATGGGCGCATAGTGCTGGACTACAGGTCTCTTTGAGGCTGGGCAGGGGTTGGGGCCGGGGTCAGTCGCCCGCCGGGGGTAAAGTCGAGGTCGAGGTTGGGGCCGAGTCGAGACCGGTCTGGGGTGGAGTAAGTCTCCCGCTTGGCCCCCACCACGGCCCTGAGCTTCCCACTGCCGCTAGGGCGGGCGCCCGGAAGTCCGGCCCGGCCGCGGGCTCCCCAGGAAGCCCCGTTTCCTGCTTCGTCTCCTGCCTCGGGGTTTCGAGGACCAAGAAACTGAGGCCCGTGGCCCGGGACGTGGCCAAGGTCACGCGATGACCAGGGTTTGAGCCCAGTTCCTGTCTCCGAGGACGGGATGGGCGGGGCGGGGTGGGGCCCGGGTTCCTGGGCCGTGCTTTGGGGTGAGGTCCTAGGGTCTGAATGGAAACGCCTGCGCGGGGTCCTTCTGTGAGAGCCGCATTCAGCGCCAGGGTTGCTTCAAGGGCCCCGTTGGCAGAGATGGGAACAGCCTCCGAGCTGGTGAATCTTTAACCTACTTACCGGACGGCCGGCCCGGGTCGCGGCGGCCTCTCCGCAGAACACGCCAACACTTTGGTGTTGCACAATCCGTGCGGTTACGGCGTGTAAAACTAACTACAGCTTTGTTAATAAGGCTTGCTAATTAACTGCAGAGTGCTTAACATATTAGCTAGTCAACTGAGACGACGCTTCTGAGTTACGTGGCACTCCTGTTTCCTGGAAGCACGAAGTTTCTGTTTTAAATGAATTGAGCGGAATTGCACGAGGAGTCCGTGGCAGGAGAGGAGGGAATTCTGACGCTCTGGTGTGGTTTCAGAACGGACCGACGAGAGCTGTGTAGCTGGTGTCCGGCGGGCAGCTGTAGTTCTCGTTCCGGAAGTAGTGGTCAGCGCTTTTTTCTGCCAGCTGTGTGCACGATGCGTCCTGCGTTTACGGCTGGGTGTGTCTGATGGAGTGTGAGGTGCTGGGGTGCACGGTGGTCCTCTGCCGCGGCCGTTCTTAGTGTCCACGCAGGGGGCTGCGCGTGTGATGTCCTCGGGGTTTTGAGCAATCTTCGTGAGTAGCCAGAACTACGAACTTGAATACATTATGTGACTCGCTAGCCGGGTCCAAAATTCAGAGCAGTCGAGTGTGTATACGTTAATCACAAATGTGGCCGCTTTGTTAGAGTGTGGTGTTTTCTTCCAAAAGTTTTCTAATGGCAGAACGAAGCTGTGCCTCCTCACGGGTGTCATTGTCTTCAGAAGTGTCCTGTTGGAAGTAAATCTGTAACATTAGAAACATGCTATTTCTTCTGAGGGCTTTCTTCAGATACAGGTATTCAGAATTGCTTCTTCAGAAAGACGTAAAATAGTTCGTTTGGACAAGAGCTGACTCATATGCTCTCCGTTCACTAGTAAGATAAAGTTAGTAGAAGGTGAGAACTGGTTCTGTGCTGCTCACAGTTCTGGTTTTTGTGAGACTCACAGTTCTGGTTTTTAAATCGTGTGGTCTAGCTATTTGCTTTGCCTCTTGCACAATATGAAGAGGGCACTCAGACCTGGTAAGGCGACTCTACCAAAGACCAGATGGGCCTGAAACTACAGGAAGCAGATCCGTTTTCGTTCACCTGCAGACCGCAGCGGGAGGCGGTGCGGCCCACCGGCCGCGGGGGTGGTGTGCAGAGTCCGGCGGCGCAGGAACGAGCCCGGCCAAGGGGACCCTGCGAGTCCCTCGGTAGTGTGGTGACTTGGTTCGAGGGAGCCGAGTCAGTTCTCTTCATATTTTCCAAATTGGATATTGTCTTGACATCTGCATTTAAATGCTGCCTTGATCACAAAGGTCAGCCTTCCTAGGGGTGGTGACCATCTACTGAGCAGGTGCTCGCACTTCAGCGATCCTGGCCTTTCCATTCCATTCATGACCATCTGTGTGCACACTTTGCCGTTGAAATTCTTCCCATTGACCTTCCTACCTTTGGAGAGTTAGGAGAATGGAAGGAAATAAAATGCACATCTGTCAGGTGGGTAGGAGAGAACCATGAATGAAAATGTCCTTTCATTCGGGATCTTAAAATTAGTAAGAACTTACCTCTTGTGTTCTGTCTGCACTTCACTAGGGTGGGTGCTGTTAGAGATGTTCTTCCAGCACTACCTGAAGTTGTCTCTTGGAAACGATTTCGACCTATTAGTGGGTTGAGTGTAACCATTGTACTGGCAGGTGAAGGATGACTCCGGAATGCGTGTGTGTTGAGGGGGGAGGAGACATCTTGATTTCAGGTCACATATAACATCTCAGCTCATTTCCTTCATCCTTAGGTTCTGTCCTCTGTGCTTGTTAGAAACCATTTAAAATATAGTTGCACTGCACCTATATTTTAACGACTACAGCTGAATCACTACTCTGGAACATAGTTCAGAATTCTCAGATGGATCAAATGACCTGATTAGCTGGGGGGAAATGTGGCAAAATTGAATACGAAAACATCAAAGCTTCTGATTCCTAGGCGGGTCTCTTAGGCACTCACCCAGAGTACTCTCACCCCAGCTTCCTTGTATGAGTTGGCAGGAGTGGTCAGTCTGATGCAGGAACCTAACCTCCTTGTCCTTAACAGACCCTTGTTTCCTGTTTTTTGCACCCAGTGGCAACTAGAGCGTGGCAGCCTGTCATTGGCAATAGAAAAGGAAGAGACTAGGGAAAAAGCAGATGTTACACACATAGCAGTTAGGAGTGATTCTGTTTAGGAGACAAGCATTTTTGCACACTCGGATGTCCTGGGGGTGACAGTTAGTATAGGGCATAAATTAATGGGAGGCCAAGTATGATCTCTGAACATCTTCAGAGGTGAGGCTGTGTAGTGCGTTTTGGAAACAGTAATTAATGTTTAATCAGAGTTTAATAAGTAATGCTCCTCAAAGAGATGCCAACAAGTTGTAATGTAAAATAGCTAGCATCTTTCAGTTTGTATTTTACCCTGTCAGTTTGACTTAGGTTCAAATGGGCAAGAAAACAATTTTAAGATGTCTACTAGACCCCTTAACAAAGAGTAGAAATGATGGCAAAGTTAGATGTGCCAGCATTTTGATTACAGGTTTCAGAACAAAGGATGTCTTTTAAAAGTCGTCGTTAATGGTGTATTTTTCCTGTGAAGTTTCCTTTCCTCTGTAGTTGAGTATGCAGTTCATAATTAACTGATTGGATCCATTAATCTATATTTAAAATACTACATCTTTTGTCAGTTTGGATGGTGAAACTTTGCCTAAAATAATTAATAGCTTGTGGTATTTCTCTTCTGTCAAAGCGATACAGGATCTTGCCAGTTCCTGGGGAGATCAGTGAAGATGTGTTCTGAGCCCCCAGTTGCAGGAACCCAAGGGCGGGTGCAGGAAGCAGAGTGCACACGCACCCCTCCTGTGCACTGGGCGTTGCTGAGGTGCTCGCCTTCAGCCGGGGTGGCCACAGTGTCTCCACAGTCCCAGTCTCCCCACTGACACATCAGAGGAATGTTCAGACTGCACCAGGCGTGTGTAATTTTAAACCAGCATGAAATTCATTGTTTACTTGATAAGTTTTTCCTGACAAACTAATTTTTAGGGAAAGCGTATTTGTAGGCATGTATGATTAATATTTTTCCTTTTTAATTCCTAAGGGTCCTGATAAGTAGTCTTTTACAGTTCTTTTTATCTTTTATTTTTCTTTTTTCTCTCCAAGATTTTATTTATTTATTTAGTTATTTATTTTTAGATGGAGGGGGAGGGAGGGAGAAGAGAGGGAGAAAAACATCCGTGTGTGGTTGCCTCTGACATGCCCACCACTGGGGACCTGACCCACAACCCAGGCATGTGCCCTGACTGGGAATCAAACCAGCGACTCTTTGGTTCACAGGCCCGCACTCAATCCACTGAGCCACACCAGCCAGGGTTCCTCTTTCTGATGGTGAATCCTTTGGGTGCCCAGGAAGGTACCCAGTGGGGGAGGATGGTGAGCTCTGGGCAGAGGAGACCCCACTGGCAAAGTGGCATTGGGTAGGGATGTGGGGGTCCTGGCGTTGAGCAGAAAGGGAATGCCGCCGACATGGCAGAGGAGTGGGGCAGGCATTGAGTTTGGCCTATCAGAAGGATAGGGAATAAGCTTGGGGGAAGACAAATGTGTGAGGGAGCAGGGTCCTGGTAGGTCTGAGGGAGAAACAGGAAGCCTCTCCCAGGCGGGGGAACGGTGAGTGGTGGAGACCTGCCAGGAGCGGAATGGCAAGCAGTGGAGCGAGGTCTGCTGGTGTTCTCCAGCGGGCCTTGGAGGGGCGAGCTCCCAGGAAGGCTGCTGGGAGAACTTGTGGAAGCACCAAGAATGCATCCTCTGTGACTTTCATATCTTAGACCTTACTCTGTTTTAGGTACAGAGACAACACCTTGGTTTTTCTTTTTTTGGTCTTACTGCGTGGGTTTTTAATACATGTTCTGAATTTTTCAGGAAAGCAACTATCTTGTAACTTGGGGAGTGGGGCTGTATTTTGTTCTTTGCAGAATCATACCACAAGTTGCTCTCTCTCTGCTTCATGGGCACAACAGTCCCCCGAGTGCCTGAGTGGCCGGTGCAGGCTCTGCCCGGGTGCCTTGCAGCAGGCTCCTGGGGGGGGCTCTTCGACAGCTCTCTGAGCTGGCGGTGTGGTCGTGGCCAG